TGGGTTTTTTTTTAAGTAGGTGAAAAAATGGTAGCGCTAAACAATAATTTATCTCCAAGTGAGCAGTAGACAAAGTCAGTTTGGGAATCCCTGGTCTACGGTGATAGTTTTAGCAGACTTAAATGTGAATGCAAACGAAACACGTATGTCTCGTCTGCACGACTAGGACCACATGACGACAAGGTAACCACTCACTATCATGTGGACCGTAGATTAGGTATTTGATAGTGAACGATCATCATCGCTCATGGTTAACTGATGCCCTGGGAACAGCCAAGCCGCTGCTCACCGCTATCAAAAATCAACCGTCAAATCAGACCAGTATGCTTAATGCGAGTTTCTTAACGTCCTGGATAGCGTAAAAGTTAAGCCAATTTTGTATGCAGTTGGAACAACGCCCCTAGCGGCAAACGTACTGTTATACGGGATCTACCGATTAGGTTTTTAAAAAAAGAATTTTAAAAAGAGATTTCACTTTTATTAGTCCAATTCCACAAACAATTCAATTGGCAGAAAGGAGATATTATTTTAGACCGCTCCCGGTGGATGACTAAAAACGACTGACTGACTCTCGGTTGGTAACTATTACCAAGAGATTTCTTACTATGCTTACTCAGCATCAGTGGTGTTTAAAAAGGATGTAACATCACTTTAACTAACATGGGGAGTCTGTAACAGTACGCAAACTTTTACGTTATCGAGAACGTTAAAAAGCTCGCACTAAGCACACTGTACCATGACTGTACCCTTATTTGCCAGAGGCACTGAATTATTTACCCGCCAGGACGTATCCTACAAGAAATTAACGTTCCCTAATTAAAACACTACGGTCCAGCTCTGATATAGGGGCCAATAAAATTTTTATGAGTCCCACATACAGGTAGTTTACGGAGGTTGAAACGGAACAAAGGGAACGAACGCCAAAGGCCTTTTCGTTAATTCAATACAGTTAATTTTATTTATACACGACCTTTGTGTGCTATTATTTGCGGGTTGCTTCATTTTCTTTTTCGGTAATTTATTTGGTGTTTTAAAATTTTAATGCGCTTGATCGGTCCCCGAAGGGAAAATCCGATGCGAGCTTGTACCTGATGAGATCTATAGATACCACAACGTAAATACCGCCATTCTTGAGGGATAAGATCGAAATCTCAATTTATTTATTTCAATCTTTTTACAGACTAACAGTAGAACAAAAACATTTTGAAGGTAGTAATAATATTAACTTAAGTAAAATAAGAAATCATATTTATCAGAAATCTCCAAACGCTTGAAGGAAGCTACACGTGATGCCTAAGGCTGGCTGGTACTTTGCACAGAGAGTGAGTCTGGCGGTCCAACGAGGTAACGCAACCAGTACCTTGGGAACTGTGTCTCCTGCAAGCGCATTGGAAGATTTGTTTTACTGTATCAATTGATTTGTGTTAAGTTATATTGATTTGTTAAGATTATTAACATAATTATTATTCCAAGTGCAAATTACTTAAGTAAATTCTAGAAATAGCTACAAATCGCTGCAAACCATCGTGAAATATATCCATTTCCGGAGCATAGGCTAGCAAACCATTTAGTAACCAGTAGTCAATTGTTTCATTGTCAAGCAAGAATTGTTTGAAGAGGTTGAAGTTGTTCCAATTAAAACGTTAAGAAAACTCAGTACAGTTTAAAATACTGTTAATGAAATAAAATTGTGGTGGGCACAACGAGTGAAAAATTACTAACAACATTGTTACAAAAACTTCCAAATTGCAATTTAGGACTTGTCGAAAAGTATTGTAACGCCACAATATTACAATATAGAGTAAGAGCCCAGGGCCCCCAGACGTCACGTATTTTCTGACGAACGAAATGTGCCCGATTGCGTAGTGTTAGTATGTACTAAGAACGCATGCCTACCTGCTACCTTGCTTAGACGGCCAATTTTCAGGTATCAGGTACTCATCCATTATCCTGCCCTTCTCCCAGTCACCTGGGGTCGGCGCAACATGTTTTCTCCTTCCATACTCTTCTATCATATACCATTTCTTCGCTCACTCCCCTCTTATCCATCTCGTCTTTCACACAATCCATCCATTTCTTCTTAGGTCTACCTCTTCCTCTATATCCTTCCACATTCATAGTTAACACTCTCTTAACAACCTCATTTTCATTTCGTCTCATCACATGTCCATACCATCCCAAACGCGCACTCCTCAGCTTCTCTGTCACAGGTGCCACTTTCAGACTTCCTCAGGTTTCAGGTATCAGGTACTCAAGGTACATAAAATCATTACATACTTCACGTAAATTCTGAAAGCTGATTTTTATATATGTCCACCAGACAACTATTTTAAAACCTCTTACAAAAAGACAGACCGATCTAAGAGGCCAATCATCCCCTAAATTCAATTTAATACCTCTGTGGGTAAGAGCGCGAGGGCATTATCCACGCGCATGAGACTGAGTGAGATATGTATTAGGATATATTGACTCATCAATTAATTATTAATATTAAAAGAAAATCAGTTAAAAATTAAATAATCAGGTAAAACAGATGGGTATCTAAGCAATAAAAACAATAAAAAAATTATACGACTTTGCCGTTTAACGAACATCGTTTTATAAACAACAGGCCGTCTATTTCAATAGACAAACAAATAAAGCATCTTGATCAAATAGAAATGAATAATTAATTATCGTTTGCTTCAATATTAATGATATTAAATCGCTAAATCCACAAATCGCATGATGTCATTTTGTTCTACGGTTTGGCCCCAAATGACGTCACACGCAGAGCACCCGTTCATCGGAGAAAAACGTCATGAGGTGTTTTTTAAAAAAGCAATTGTTTGTTATATTTTGTATTCTATTGAATCTCAAACTCGGGAAAGTACATGAGTATTTTTTTTTTTTTCGTTGAAATCGAAATGTAACATATTTTGATACCAGCATCCTTTTAGATCTTGGACATAAATGAGTTGAATTTCACACCACGTGCTGACTGCATTCGATGGCTGACTGCGTAAACACCCAATCAGAGAACTTTCCAAATTGACCTCTATTTAACAGGAATTTCGCAATGCTTCACGCCCCTCCTCGCGTACTCCTCTCCAATATATTCACAACATCGGACATTACGAGTATAATATTCATTAATTTGATATGAGATAATTGGATATCACTGGAACTTCACACTTTTAGTTCGCTTTGTTCGTTTCCGAGTTAGGTTGTGCGGTAAGCCCTCAATCTTGAAATAAACGATTTCCACTTCGATTCCACGGCGTTTTTCCAAAGCAGATATAAACAATCCATCGACTAGTCGTGATCCTCTAAGAGAATTATTGACACGATTGTAATACATACATGCAATAAATAATACAACAATTCTAGAGTACAAAAAACCTGTTCATGCAGATCTCGAAATATTTATATTACACGATTTAATCACGATCCTTCGAACAACAAAATAAAGTAATTAAAATTACTTAAAAGTAAGTACTTTAAGTAATTAAAACGATATTTCGAATATCTATTTTATAGTTTTCGCGATCATAGACGACTCTCGTCTCAGACTTGTAGAAGTAATCTTTGTTTACGACTCGGCAAAAACCAAAAATACAACGGAACAAAGTTTTTTTTTAACTATTCTAATGACCTCGAGGGGTCATGCTAGATTCACCGGTAAGTGAGCTCACGGGGCTCTAACCTGGTAACACTACAAACACTAGCCCTACTAACTCTACCACCGGATCGGAAATGCGACCCACTGAGAAGATCCGGCGAGAAACTCAGTGGACTAGTACAAAATCATAAAATGTATGGTTTATAGACTACCAAAGCTCCTCAAAATACAAACTCTATTATGTTATGCCTTGTACCAATAGGCCAAGATGCTATCAAGAGCATCCGGCAAACTTCGTGCAATCAATCATTGTGCCCGAATTATATTAATTACGCAATCGTTAGGGTGGTATCATTGTCGGACACGATTTTATTTAAATCTAAAAAAATGTGGCACGTGCAATTTGGTGCACGTGAAAGAAGTAAAACTTCTTTTGCGGTTATATTGCGGTATTGTAATATTGCGGTTTTCTTCATTTTTCATCCTTAAATTAAATTTCTCTTGAATACTAGAGAAACGACTGAGCTCGCTTTCTCCCTCTCTCCCAGGTAGAGTGGTTCGCGAGACGCTCTGTCTATTTTTTCACTCTCTCTCGTCCTAAATTGTGTCTTTTCTCTCTAGCCGTAACGAATCTGTCGCGAGTTAAATTTTATTCTCAACGCGCCTAAAGAAATTTCACTTTAAAAACCAGAAAGATCGGAGGTGCTTTATAGCTTTGATAGATGTATGAGCTCACGGCCTCTCTGGTGGTTACCGACGCCACTCCCAGACATGAAGTCGAAATCTCAATTTCTTTGTTTAATGACTGTCCAATTCTTCCAGTACATGACTGTTTCGCTGCAGAAATAAGCACCTTAGTAGTATCTACCGTGCGGGTTCACAATTACACCAGCGATTAACCCAATTAATATATACTTAGTGGTAGTCACAATTTTTTTACTGGTGGTAGGACCTCTTGTAAGTCCGCAAGGGTAGCTACTACCACCCCGCCTATTTCAGCCGTGAAGCAGTAATGCGTTTCGGTTTGAAGGGTGGCGCAGTTTTTGTAGCTATACTGAGACCTTAGAAATTATATCTCAAGATGGGTGGCGGCATTTACGTTATTGAAGTCTATGGGCTCCGGTAACCACTTAACACCGGGTGGGCTGTGAGCTCGTCCACCCAACTATGCATTAAAAAAGAAACATACAAAGCTTGGTATCTGCCTTGAAGGCTTCAGTGCTGTTATATTAGTACTAATATCGGTACTAATATCGCTCGATATTAGTACACCGTACACCGTCATCCAGTACACTATAATAATATTGGAATAATTAAATACCTAACCTAGCTGACGAGTATTGGCATGTTTCATATGTATTGCAAAAGCCACTAAAGATCATTGTTTCTTTTGTTCCAGATGCGAAATAAAAGAATGCGAAACATCTAACAACAGCGCTTGGATCGAATTCGGGATACCACAGGACAAAGGAAGTTTGTCTAAATGCGAAAGGTACTCGTTCAAAAATAGCACATTGAATAATGGAACTTGTACTCAAGATATGTTCGACAATCATCTAAGAGAAAAATGTGATACTTATGTGTACAGCGACGAAGATTCGGCAGTTAAAGATGTGAGTATTGATATAGGCATGTCTATTTTTAAAGACATGTCTGACTGATAAACATACTTATATTAGTTTCAATATATACATATGTATATAAATAATAAACAGCTAGACAAAGAGCAAACAAATTTCACGAATGTTTGACTCGTGCGCGAATACAACCCACAACCCTCGGCGCAATAATCCGAATTGCTGACCGCGTCTGTTAAAATTGTAATACCTTGTATTCAGCTATGCCATTAGCTACAGATCAAGACTTAAATTAAATCTACATTTTAGTTCAATCTGGGTTGCGAAAATTGGAAGAGGACACTGATCGGTACAATCCACAACTCTGGTCTATTTGTGTCTCTACCTCTCACCGGTATCATGTCTGATAGATTCGGTAGGAAAAAGGCTTTGGCTGTAGCTTCACTGATGAACTGCATTTTTGGAGTGATGAGATCGTTTTCAGTCAACTACCTTATGATGGTAGCTTGCGAGTTCTGCGAGGCGGCTTTTGGCGCTGGGGCATATTCGACAGCTTTTGTTTTAGGTATGTTTGAAATCATCTTTATAATACCATTTCCAAATTAATATACATGGTATAAAATAATAGAACCCGGTGTGCCTTTACATTGAATGGCTTTGTCCGTTTTTTGTTGGCGCACATCTCCGGAAGTACTGAACGAATTATCATCAGGTTTTTACAAGAAGGCAGAGATTAATTTAAAATATAGTAAATTATATTGTTAATGTGAATCAAACTCTGTTTATCAGTTACATTTTTANCCATTTCCAAATTAATATACATGGTATAAAATAATAGAACCCGGTGTGCCTTTACATTGAATGGCTTTGTCCGTTTTTTGTTGGCGCACATCTCCGGAAGTACTGAACGAATTATCATCAGGTTTTTACAAGAAGGCAGAGATTAATTTAAAATATAGTAAATTATATTGTTAATGTGAATCAAACTCTGTTTATCAGTTACATTTTTACACCTAAGCCAGCGAACCCAACTTGTCGAACTTTGGTTTAAAAATTATCTGAATCTTGGGAAAAAATAGAGCCTGACTTCCTAGTGTCTGAAATTTGTCCTGATGCTCTATGCACTGGTCTCCACCCATACTATATAAGACTTAAACAACCCGAATAAAGCCGCTGGCAGAGATGTAGGATGTTATAAATTTACCAAATTAGTTGTCATACCATATTTTGTAGTCACATTTATTGTATATTTCAACTTTACCTTGATATTTGAAGGTACATAAATGACTGGCAAAAATATAATTAAATTTTACTTGATAAAAATGTTTGTTGCAGCAATGGAACTCGTAGGACCCAAAGGCAGAGTATTCGGGAATACTTTGATAAATGTATTCTACGTTTGTGGCTTAATGACATTGGCTGGTTTATCATGGGTACTACAAGACTGGAGAACCTTACTGCGAGTCATATACTCGCCAGCATGCCTTGTCTTCTCCTACATTTGGATTCTAAACGAGAGCATAAGATGGTTGCTCAGTAAGGGAAAACACGAAAAGGCCGTCGAAATACTCAGAAAGGCGGCAAAAATGAATAAAGTGGAACTATCTGAGCAAGATCTAACGCCAATTTATGAACTAGATAAAGTCAAAGCGACAAAAGATAAAGATTATCTCGTTGTAAGCGCCGAAGGTCCATCTATCTTCCAGCAAGTGATCAGATCGAGTATAATCATCAAGAGATTATTAACGTGCTCCTATCTTTGGATTACTTGCACTTTCGTGTACTACGGATTGTCAATAAACTCTGTCTCGTTGGCTGGTAATAAATACGTAAATTTTATGCTGGTTGCCTTCGTGGAGATTCCAGCGAACTTTGCGTGTCTGGCCGTTTTGGATCGATTCGGAAGGAAGAGGGTTTTGATAACGATGTACATTTTAAGCGCGATTCTGTGCATTGGATTGGCTTTTATCCCTAAAGGTAAGAAAAGGTCTCGGCTTCATAAGCAGATCGTTTTACAAAGATATGGTTGAAACTCCAATCTTATGTATTGGCCTTTTTTACTTATTGCCCTTGTAAGCAGACGAGCATACGGCCCACCTGAAGATGAGTGGTTACCGTCGCCCATCAACTTCAGCAATTCCAAAATTTTTGTTCTTTGAAATATTTGGGTTTTTAAATTCTTTAATTTATCAAAAATGATTGAACAAAAAATGTGCCATAAAACAACAGAGATTTTTATGTTATAAACGAGTTTACCTGATGTTAACTGTAGTCTACCTCTTAAATCGAACATATGCTTAAAACGACATTACAGCACTCGCCTCAATCAGCTCTGTTTATTTCTATGGATAAGCATTTACACCGTCTGCCTGGGAAGCCATTTTATACAAATTTACTAAATGTTGGATACTATGAGGGCTACTGTTACCATTGTCCTACTTCTTCTTCTTCTTCTTCTTCCTAGCATTTTCCCGGTCTAGTCCCAGGGTCCGCTTTCCTACTTAAACCTCCACTTTACCCAGTTTTCGGTATCCTTCTGGGTGAGGTTATTCTTCTCCATATTCACCTTATTACCTTATCAATATATCCTATTACAATTGTCCTTATATGGTAAATACCCTAATGTATTTCTATTATGTTTTTCTCCTATTATATTAGGTTTTTTCAACCAACAGATAAAGCATGGTGGTCCTTGATCGTATATCTCTCTGGAAAGTTCTCGATAACGATCGCGTACAGTTCCGTCTACATCTACGTGTCAGAAGTCTTCCCTACGAATGTGAGGCAGTCACTTCTAGCCGTCTGCTCGTCTACTGGACGTATTGGGTCAACTTTGGCACCTTTAACACCTCTGCTCGTAAGTTGGACACTTTTTTCTAATCCATTGCTTGCAGGTTTGGTGAAGACCAAATCTGGTACAAAGGTACTGGAAGTGTTCTACATCACGGAAATTAGATGAGAGAGATTTTCTTTCACAGTACCAAATGCGAATTGAAGTTACATGATCGTCGATGCTGTGGTGTTGAAAGTTTCGGAAGCCAGCACTACCGGGCATCTCGGAAATTGTGCCTTCATGCGTTCTGCTGTGAAGGGTAGCACAGCAGTTATAGAATGGACAATTTGACCTCATATCTCAAAGTGGGTTGCGAAGCTGACGTTATGACGTCTTTGACCTCTGGTAAACAATTTATACAAGTAATAGGAGTGTGAGATTTAGATTTACCCCAATTCCTCTTCCTCTAAATGGGCATCTTCATTTTTCAAGTTCGTGTCTATCTTTATGACCATTCCCTCATCAATTATTTCAGGGCTCCTATNAGAATGGACAATTTGACCTCATATCTCAAAGTGGGTTGCGAAGCTGACGTTATGACGTCTTTGACCTCTGGTAAACAATTTATACAAGTAATAGGAGTGTGAGATTTAGATTTACCCCAATTCCTCTTCCTCTAAATGGGCATCTTCATTTTTCAAGTTCGTGTCTATCTTTATGACCATTCCCTCATCAATTATTTCAGGGCTCCTATACCAATGTCTATATCTTCGGCAGTCCTGAGTATTTCGATAAATAATACAAAAGTTGTCAATTTTCATATTACGATGTGCGTGTGTGAGTAACCTCAGAAATTCTCACCAACAGGCTCTATACTACGAGAAACTCCCGGTCATTTTCTTCGGTACTTTAGCAGTTTTGGCCGGCATGCTGGTCTTCACGCTGCCGGAAACTATAAACGTTCGGTTACCAGACACGATAGAGGAGGCCGAGAGATTGTCTAATCGTAAAAACGAAGAAAACCTTTCGTGATAAAAATAAATTATTAGTTTAGTTTGAATGGACTCGAATTTGTAGCGTACTATGTGAACTTCTGGCGAGTCAAACTCGATGGAAAACCGCGTTCATTACCATTGAAAATACCGCGTGAGTCAAATAACATGTTTTGTTTTTAATTGGTCAATGAATACTTTCCAAGATTTTCTCATATATAAGTGGCTTGTCCAACAATAGCTGTTACAACGTCTTGTTTATCTATTAAGAGAAACATCAGATAAATAAACTATACCTCTGTTTCTATCTTTACCCCTCGCCCTCTCTCTCCTTGCCTCTGTTAAAAACTAAATAAATTTGGCTTGCACGGTAAACGATGTTATCATATTACAATTTTTTTAAACGAAAGCTCTGAGTTATAACCACAAATGTGTTTTTAACATTCCCAATTTTATTTAGTCGTAAGATTTACTACGTGTCAAATGTACAAATATTTTAATATTTTTTTAAATTAAGTGTGATAAAATCACAGTTGGAAATGAAAATTTTAGATTTCTTCAATAGATGTAAGATTCGTCTTTTTTAATGGGAATGTCTGCGTATGTATGAAAATGAAGGTTTGAAAATAATGTTACATTGAAATCAAACAAATAATGCAAAGTACAAACGTAAAATGTAGTTTTAATAAAAAGTGTACAAAAAATCTATAAATAAATATTCTTATTGTGTTTTTTATTTTATATTAATTCATATTTTACAATACGGCTATGTGATCCGAAATACTCTCCACCTTCGGCCTGTTCCAATTCCCGTAAGGATACTCACGTTTACCTTAAGGAAATATTCCCTAAGGTTTTATATCTCTCAGTTTGATCTATATCTTTGGCATTCAACATACCACGACCGAGGAAAATACAACCTCATCACCAATGAACGTGGATGATGCATTCTGTATGTATTCTGTATACTAGCAACCGCCTGACTTTTCTGGTAAGCGTCCAACTCTGATTGCATCCAGCTTAATATGCCAAAGGAATATGTTAACATAGCATGACCCAACCATTAATTGCTCGGATTTTGTTCCCGCCTGATAAATAGCTTTTTAAGACATTTATAAGGAGACCAAAGAACCAATCTCTATCTGATTGTTTCGTATCTGCGTCTACAATATTCAGCACTTCGAACATACTAAGATACTTGTAGGTTTCAGATTCACAATGAGATTTGAGGACCACACTATCTATGGTTAAGTTGTAAGCAATCTGAGTTTACAACTTTACCTCTCTGTACATCTATGAACGCACATTTATCAACACCAAATTCCATCCCAATGGCTTTACTAAAATTGTCGGTTATTGTATGTAAGCTCATCTAGTCTATTTTTTTGGAAGCAAAAAATTTAAGATTAACCATTTATTACCATTATTATAGTTGTATTTTTCTTCGTCTTAGTTCTCTCATTCTAGTCTAGTCTTTGTTATTTTAAATGAAGAGGAAAACAATATTTCCTTACATTCCAACATTATCGTACGATGTTTTTAAAGTGTAGTGATTTCGTAACGTACGATTAATATTTTAATTTTAGGTTATCACGCACGGGTCATTGATAATTTGACATTGTGTTGACACGTTCCATTCACGTGACATCCAAATTATTTTTAAGATTGCTTAAAAGATAATTATTTCGACACACCGCACTCCCGAGTCTAGGCGCTGAGGCATTGTTCAGTCGCCATTTAATGTGAGGTCTGGTCTGGGGAATCGTTCGAGATCAGAGAAGGCTTTAGCTTTAGTGCAAGTGTGTGGGCCCAGCGGTGTCAGGGGGCGCCAGTATTGGCACTATCAATGACCCTGTTACATTTGTACCTATTCCATTCTGACAGCGCTTACTAGAAGGCACTAAGGTAATGATTGCACACGGACACTACACGGGCTAGAGACTTCATCTTCTTTTACTGCCACTGGAGTGGCTTGATCCCGTAATATCTGGAGCCACTCCGTTAATCTTATGTGGAACCACTCCGTTAATCTGTATTGCGTTTCCATAGACATTTTTTGCTAAGTACCATCCGATTTTAAAATGAACTTCCCTAAACGGTGTTTCTCGAGTGCGAGAACTTGTAAAATGTGTGGTGGAAAACCTCTACTCTTCTACCGATAGTGCTGTTACCACGCCACCCTCAGTCCGCGGTTCTACTGATAGTAAGGGATCTATTAGATATATGATAGTAGGGACCTCTTTCATTGTTTCTTTTCTGTATTCTGAGATTTCACTATAGATACTCACGCGTGCAATGTTAATTGGTAGGTAGAATCTATCTTGTTGCATTAGATAGATAAACACTCAATTTTATTCCTTCAACGTGGAAGTTGTTCCTGAACACGTATTCAGTATTTATTTGCGGGATTTGACGACAGACAACGTTGACTAATTTATAAATACGAAAAAAAACCTATCCTATCTATTATTTGGCAGTCTAAGTCGCTGTTCCAGCTACGCTTTGGCTGATAGGTGAGCTCACAGGACTAAAGCTAAGAGAGTTTGCTAACACTAGCCCTACCAAGAGCAGTACTTTGCAGAGACTACCACCGAATCGGAATTGCGGTCCACTGAGAAGATTCGACGAAACTAAGCGAATTGTGTCTAGGGGCTAGTTCCTTTATTGAACTCTTCGACGAGTTCGACGAGGACGGTGACCGGTACTTTAAGAGCCTAAAATCATTGGAAGCGAAACCGGGGGATCCGACAAGACATGTTTCGGGCGAAGGCGATTTTGTGTTGCCTTGTCGCTTGGGTCAGATACGTAATTAGCGGCAGCCATGATAACAGGGTTATCGTGTCGCGCTGTTTTTTGTCGAAATAGCGTTCTGACGTTTCCTTGAGATACATATCGGTTCTAAATTAAAATAGTCATGAAGATAAACATTCCTCGCGTACCACAGGATTGAAGAAACCGAATTCAATGACTTGGAGAGAGTTAATATACTCGTATGTGCGGACCGCGTTAGCGAACATCACACTTGCATAGGTCATGACGGAATACAATTATTTTGAAAGACTGATTTATTGTGTAGACGCATAGAACTAGGTTGAGACTTACCGTATGTTAAGCCGTTTCCGGAACCAATAAACAACAATCACAAATATTTCCATATGGAATTGAGTACAAGATATTGGTTGGTTTATTGTAGCTACTACTGGCGCTCTACCTGTCGTACTTTTTGAGTAATGTGTAATTTTTGACGTGACAACGTCTTATAATTCGATGGAGCCGGCTGCACTCACGATAAAACATGACTCATGCGGCGTTACCTCGCTCTGAGGCGTTCCATTTAAGGCTTGAAGTACAAGCGAGAGCGCGCAACGAGCGACAAAGAGGCACAATCGGCCTCCGCGTACGGGCAGCCTTCGACATCAGCTGTCTCTCCCCTACTTGAGTGAGCGATGCATCCGCGTGGACAGCTGCTATACAATAATACAGTTCAGTGAAAAGTGAATGTGGTGTCAATTGTCCATACAAAATATCCATCAGACAAATAAAATTAAAATTTTCTTTTGAAAAATGAAACCATTCCATCAGTATTTTCTTATGACGTTGTCACCTTCAACTATCGTCAGTAAACCGACTTTACAGACAACCGATACCTTTCTAGTTTCACCAGGCTATGTGGGCGAACTAAGACAGGAGGACTGTTTACTAATGTGCGAACCACAACTGAACTAAGTTTCAGCACAATCTGGTGAATAGACTTAAGAAAGCATACACCAATTTTTTTCCTACTTATGCAAGTAACCTTAAAGGGACTAGCTTCTCTGAACGCGCATATACGACAAATAAAGTATATGGTTTATTGTGCACATAGATTTCTATATCTATACTAATATATAAATCTACGATGGTTTTTACGGATGTTCCGTTATAACTACTGAACCATGCATCCGATTGACTTGAAACTATCCATGTAGAAAATACATGTACTTAATGGATAGGCTAATATTAATATGAGTGTTGGACTCTCCACACCAGTTGCGGAGGCGTTAATGATGAGAATATTTGTGGGGGTGAGAAACAATAGTGTTAATTTTAAATGCCCAGCGAAGCGGACGAGTACAGCTAGTATAGAATAAAAACAAATTGCAAACGTTAAACATAAAAAGTACAGTGAGCGGTCTTAAAGCTTAGGAGTGATTTCTCCCAACAACCATAAGATCGACAAAAGACATTCAAGGAAAGATGTTCAGCGCGATGTACTTACCGATTAAATAATGAATAGAAACGAAAATGTTAATAATTTAAATCATTATATTGTTACGTCGATAAAAGTATCTCCATCTATCGCCGAATAGCAGAAACAAATATCAAACGAACTAGTAAAATCACAAAACGCACGAGAAGATGAAACGACTGGCCTTACCGAGAATGTTCTCGATAACTGTGGAGATGTCGTATCGACTCTAAAGGGTTGCAGAGTTGACACGAAGCCGCCGGTCATCGTTCTTGTCGAACCCGTCGCTTGCGACGAAGGGCTCGACGAGTAAATTAACCCTCAGACACAGCCCACTGAGTTTCTCGCTAGATCTTCTCAGTGAGTCGCGTTTCCGATCCGATGTTAGATTCCGCAAAGCACTGCTCTTGCTAAGGTTAGAGTTAGCAACGTCGTCAGATTTGAGCCCCGTGACCTCACCTACTTGTTAGATTACACTGACATAGCCTCTCAAGGCTATTAAGATAGGTAGGAAAAAAAAGCGTTATCGGGACTCACTAGCGCCTTATATAACCGAATAGCAAAAGTTTTAATCAACATGAATTTCACTATTCTGTTGTTAAGGGATAAGGTTTTAAGTGCAATCTGATGAATAAGTGAGATAAATAAAGCTCTTAGGGCGAACGCTTTGAGTTTATCAGATACGTGATTGCTGTTTCCCATCTCATAAACCACGTACCATCCGGCTTTGGAATGATCTTCACTCCGCAGTGTTTCATGAGCGCAAATAAGGCTCGCGGAGAGTGGTCCACAGCAGGCAGCGCCTTGACTTTGCCTCTGCTATTGTCGACGTCCATGAGTAACGGTAACCAAATATATAAATTAATACGTGAAGCAAAAACTTTGTACCCCTTTTTACGAAAATTGCCCGGACGGAGGAGTATGAAATTTCCTATACTTATAGAAAATATAGAGAAGAAGTGCAGAATGCTAATTTAATACTTTTTTTAAATAATCCATACCTTAAATCAATAAAGAAAACATTACACACACTACATACCATGTATTTGACGCACACACGCATGCATACTATTTATTGTCAAACTTTTGTTCTTGACGTCTGCTGTCAAATTGAGAATAGATTAAATATTGTTTCTCTTTGTTATTTATTTTTTTAATATAGTCTTGGCGAAATTTATGATTATAGAAGTATAAAATACAATCATAATAGTGTACAAACTTACAATTCAAATTAATTAAAGTCGAAGTTCGACTACTGCGGGACCTCTAGTATTATCAAAAAAGAGCAGTTCCACCAAGTCGAATGTTTTTGCTCGGTGTACTGAATCTTACGAATGTATGTATGTAGCTTTCTTTTAAACATTAAAGTTGTTATATTGGACTAATGCTTCAATACACTAATTAGTAAAGAAAAAAAATACATAGGTACTGGTGCTAGGACTTCTTGTGAGTCGCACGGGTATCACCACCCCGCCTATTTCTGCCTTGAAGCAGTAATGCGTTTTGGTTTGAAGGGTGGGGCAGCCGTTGTAACTATACTGAGACCTTAGAACTTATATCTCAAGGTGGGTGGCGCATTTACGTTGTGGATGTCTATGGGGCTCCAGTAACCATTTAACACCAGGTGGGCTGTGAGCTCGTCCACCCATCTAGGCAATAAAAAAAAACAAAAAAAAAAACAATTTATATATCTAAATCTTCTTCTTTTTACTTTTATTCCAGATTATTGTGGGCCGCCGGAGCATATCCTCTTGTCTTACTGCTTAGGGATTTAGCATGACTTTTATGACGGGCCACTTGCCTGACTTCAACCCTTCTTAGGTTATGCATCTCCGTATATCGTATTGCAACGTGTCATGGAAAGGGACTTTTCTGTTTGTTCACTTATTGTTTCTTTTCATCCCATTACTTGTTTTCTGACATGTATTTTATTTTATTATTACACCAAATTATAAAATAAATTTCAATACACACAACGCTTAAAGAAAAAGGGTGCGTGTACTTATGTACGCGCGTAAGAAGTTTTTTTATACTTTGTTTTTATTAAATTAATTTCTTTTTTTTTTATTTAAATTTTAATCAATTTGAAAAAAAAACCGATTAAACAACATCCTCAAACACGCATATTGGACATCCCTTTTCTTGACATCGTATAAATTCGGTAATTCTCGGTACGGTTCGGAAAGTTCACCTGCGGCTATATTCAGACTCGCCAAGTTACGTCGGTCGTATTGTAATGAGCGATTTAGTGGGCAACTTCATTTCTGTTAATTTCGTGTCACGGTGCGCGCGCATCGTAAAATTTCACTCTCATCAATTTTTCGTAACGCGCCTAAAGAAGTAGAACTTCAATATACGTATGACTTGGAAATAGTTACTACCAATTGTTAGAAACATTAACATCTGGATACACGACTACGAATTTACAAACGAACATCTGAAATATTTCTTCAAATACACGAAAAAATTAGCAGAGCGCAATTTATAGTAACAGACTGATGCATCTACATCACTTCAAAAGTCAAAACGCATACAAAACCGCATTCAATATAGACATTCCAGACGTGAGTAAATGAATAAGTCCGAATGTCATCAATATCCAATGCTTTTTTTATTTGCTTAACTAAAAACACGGTTTTAAGGTCAGCAGAAATGTAGTACGTACAAGCTAATAGGATTCTCGTGAGAAGCGTGTGCGCGTGGTAAATGACGTTTTACCGGAACGCATATCAACGCTTAATATTAGTTAGTTAGTCAGCCGACGGCGTGAGTGACGGTTTGATCGTTAGTTAATTCATAAATGAGACCGGCGGCGCGATAAAACTAAAAAAAAAAGTTGCAATTTGTCTATCAATTTTGCTTTATTTCTGTGTAACATAATAGTTTTTGTAGTGAATACGTGATAACGGTCTTCGAGGTTAACCAACCGGCATGGTGTTTCTTTGAAATGGGTCATAGTGTATATTAAGCTAACAAGTAAGTGTGTTTTTCACATATTTTTACACACCTGTCGATTGTTAACTAGAGCGTCTATAAATATATTGGCGCGTTTAAATTTGACTACGACATTTAGTCAGAAACTTTGGTTAGAAAGCATGCGATAGAATTGCTACATACGTTATAACCAGCAAGCACTGTTTGTGTGACAACTTTAATACGATCAGACCATACATTCCTTTGTACCAGGTGAATCGTATCCAATTACTGACACGGCAATAAACTAACGTGTTTGTTTAAGAGATTAACTGATTTCCCTTTCGTTTCACACGTTTTTGATTGTTATACACAATGAGCAAAATGTGTAAATAAGCGTTTATATATAATATAATATCGGGATATTAATTTTATAATTAAACTTTTCTTAATATCTAGGTTATTCGGGTTTAAGCCATGCGTATTGGAAATACTGTTGTTACATATTTTTTAACACATCTCAGTTTTTTTTTTAAACCTAATTACAGATCTTTCTAGAACTCAATATCGAACGATATGATCATACAAAAATATTTGAAGTTTGATATCGACTTATGATCACTTGCGTTTACGAAACTTTAAATAGAAACGAAAGAAATAGAACTGAAATATCGAATAAAATAAAATCGAAATTAATTGTAACATATAGCTTACACAACGTGCTAAGAAGTCATCGTGGCCATAAGGATAAGACGCCCGGCATAGGTACTCGGGACAAGCAATCCAACTGTGCCGGTGTTCAAAATTCAAATCCCGCCGACACGGACCTATAATTTTTAGAAGAACACGTATGTACCACGTGCTGACGATCTAATTCCACGATGAAGGAATAACACAGTAAATTTACACATTAGCCTAATTACTATGACCCACACAACTAGGCTATTCGAACTACCAAAATTGGATGAAAAGATTCGAATTAAATAGGCCCAAAAGTCTGATAGCCCAGGGCGACGCAAACCGCACTGCTTCGCGCTCAGTTTTGTTATGGCTTATAAGCCCGAAATTGAAATTTTAAAAAAAGTTCCTTCTTTTCCCCTACATATGCTGATAGCCTTGAGAGGCTATATTAGTATTACCCTAGCGTGTAGGTGATCTCTCGGGGCTCAAACCGGAGTTTTTGCTAACATTGGCCCTAGCAAGACCAATGCTTCGCAGAATCTACCATCGGATCGGCAACGCGGCCTACTGAGAAAATCCGGCGAGAAACTCAGTGGGCTGTGTCTATGGGTTAATTTACTCCCCAAGCCCTTCGTAGAAACCGACGGGTTCGGCGAGGACGGTGACCGGTGCTTGAGGTACCTAAAAGTACCGTTAATGGATCGGGAGGATCCGTAATGACGTGTGAAAATACCTAAAAACATATCTAAATAACAAAATTCATTTGCCTGTAAGACTGAGATAGACTTTAGTATTTTATCATTTATTACCATCACTGTCAGCCCACAACAAAGCTCTGCGTTACATTGTTTTATAAAACGGTAAAACTTATAGACTCCGGGCGCTGAATCTATACTAATATTATAAAGCTGAAGAGTTTGTTTGTTTGAACGCGCTAATCTCAGGAACTACTGGTCCGATTTGAAAAATTATTTCAGTGTTAGATAGCCCATTTATTGAGGAAGGTTATAGACTATATAACATCACGGTAAGACCAATACAAGCGGAGTACCAATAAAGAATGTTTCAAAATAAGGGTTTAAATAGCTCCTTAACATTCTATAATATTTTCACTTTCTACGTAAATTAAGTGGGGGGTACAACTTAGCATTATACCAAAGTAATTGATCCACGCGGACGGAGTCGCGGGCAAAAGCTTGTCTTAAAATACGCCACATGTGCAACGTAATAACTGATCTACGAATCAACTACCAGTTTATGGACCAGAGAGCGATACTAACAATTACTTACTCCGGGGAAATGCAACGTGTTTCATTCGTTAGGAATATTAAAAGCGAGTCGAGCCGGGGAACGCGTCTAAGTATACAGAAACTTGAAAATATTACCCATGCTCAGAGGCAGTCGGCAACATCGACAAAGACCGTAGACCACGAATAACCCGATAACCTCATTTCATAAGATTCCATCAAACATTTCATCGTTATCTGCATATCACGCGATTTTTTTTTTTTTTGTATCAGAATTTATGTTACCAAACACCGAAATTCCATAGTGGCTAGATAAGGAGCATTATCGTTAGGCCGACATGATCGTGTCCATTGTTAGAGGCCATTGTGAAAATAGATATTAATTTATGCGGAAACAACACGACGTCTTAATTATTTCAACATTACGTATTCCAAACGCATGTCGAAACAAATGTGTTTCAAAGCGGAGAATATTTAGGCTTAGTGATCATGTTTATAGAAAATATATACATATTATATTTCAAGTGTGTATTTCAATTACTTACGGTAGGCAGCGTCTTGGCTCTGCGCCTGGCATTGCTGACGTCCATGGGCGACAGTAACCACTCACCATCAGGTGGGCCGTATGCTCGTCTGCCTACAAGGGCAATAAAAAAAAAACAATTCGTGAATCTCCTATTTTTTATGGCGTAAACGAACTCCCGATTTAATTGGGATCGAAGCGCTTACTGGTATCCACTAAATAAAATGACACCCAGTTGATACACCAGACACTGTCAACGGCAGTGGCAGAAACTACTTCACTAGAAGAACTACAAGTAATTAAGGTCGCACACAATCATCATCATCATCATCATCATCATTATCCTGCCCTTCTTCCAGTTACCTGGGGTCGGCGCAACATGTTTTCTCCTTCCATACTCTTCTATCATATACCATTTCTTCGCTCGCTCCCCTCTTACCCATATCGTCTTTCACGCAATCCATCCATTTCTTCTTAGGTCTACCTCTTCCTCTATATCCTTCCACATTCATAGTTAACATTTTCTTACCAACCTCATTTTCATTTCGTCTCATCACATGCCCATACCATCCCAAACGCGCACTTCGCAGCTTCTAAGGTCGCATACAATATCCCCTAAGAAATATCCAAACAGACATAACAAGATCATCTCAAAGTAAGAGTCCTATTAGGTGTCGGCACATTATAGCAGATCTCACCAAATTATATTTTCCCCTATGATCCTGTAGCTGGTTCCTATCCCAATTCAAACTAAGACAAACTACACCGGAGATGATTGGGTGACCATGAACTACTTCATTAGTACACTTATTTTTGTCTTCGATAACTTTTGTATTGTAATCATATTTTCGGTCTCTCGATTTTGTCTGGCAAATGAATTTTCTCTGTTTATTTATAAGGTTTACTTGAATTTTAGCATTAGGACCGCACATTGGCCATTGTGATTGTCTGGCCCAGTAATTATTAACAATGCAAAAGCTTGCCGAACCAGCGTAAGACCAAAAAGTTCATTAGTGTCCTTACTCGAAATTGGTTCGAACGGATTTATTAAAATCCGAAAGACAGTCTCCTGTACCCTACCTTTCTTAAAACCACTTCGAGGGAGGACATTTAATGACTCTGAGGAAAACGAAGAAGAGGATTCTAGCATTTGGCAATACGGGAAATGAGTCCACTATTATCAAAGCCGGCAATGTGACTTTTGGACAATTATTGGTAAATCAGAAAAACGAATTATTTACTTTGTATTCCATTGGCAGTCACAAAACTCTTCTGAACGACATCTTAGATAAATAACAGGTTAAATATTAACCTTTATTTAATGCTGGTTTTGAACCGTATTCTTTGAAGGAGACGATTATATTAAAATCAATCTGTATTGACATATCAATAACATTTTTTTGTCCAAATGCACAGATTGCCACCTTTGATATTAGATGACTCAAATAACCTATGAGAATCTACTGCACGCTTTATAAGACTTTTCAGGTATGAGGAGGTTTTGTATAATTCGGTGCCAAAAAGAAAATAATGTGCAGTTCAAGCAAAAACGGAGAATACGCATTTATGTATCACTAAAAATAAATACATGCTTTCTTAGTAAGTGTCGAGCTCTCAGTAAAAGCAAAGCCGATTAATTGACAGAAGTTGTCCCATTCACTCAAAACAGTAACTCTCTCGCGTTAACTGATTTTTGTAGTATTATCGTATCAGGAATTATCAGTAGGTACTCAAATCTAAATCCAAAAGATTCAGTTTTCTTTTACAATCTTCTTCTCGGCCGTATTCTTCATTACTGCACGCTAGGACAGTATTTTTGAATACGTGTAGTCCGTGACCTACTCCCATGTACATTTTGTAATAAGATTTTATTCAACTTTAAACTCTTATAACACGTTCGTTTTGGGTAAATGCTAAGTTCTGTGTGCCTAGTGCGTGTTTTTTAACGTTCTCGATAGCGTAAAAGTTAACTCAAATTTGTATGGAGTTCGAACTTTTGCTTACGGTTACCACTAGGGGCGTTTTTTTTTATTAAAAAAAAAGGGGCGCTAGTCCAACTGCACAGTAATTACATATCTGAACAACAAACAACAAAGTCTACGACATTGCTTGTTAAGTTATATTTAGCAGAAACAAAATAAACAGGGAAATTTTCCATGTGTGAACTATTCATTCGGATTTCGGGTTTCGATGCAAATTCACCCGAAACACGATAGCTTACTTCGTCGTATATAGACGAGCAAGTAACGTCGCCAATCGATTAAGAAGTGTTCTGAGGAATTGTTAGAGATGATACCGTCATCTCGTTTTTAGCAGCGCACCACCCGCCACCGGAGTAGAGTTCATCCATACTACCTGGAGCCACTACGGTCATCCACAGTGCGTTTCCAGAGATCTTTTTTGCCACGTAACATCCGGCTATGGAATGAGCCACGGTGTTTCCCAAGCGCAATAACATGTCCTTCTTCAAACGAGGCTTGTGGAGAGTATTAAGCGGTAGGCAGCGGCTTGGCTCTGCTACTGGCATTACTGAAGCCCATGGGCGACGGTAACCACTCACCATCAGGTGGGCCGTATGCTGCTCGACTGCCTACAAGGTCAATAAAAAAAAA